GTCCCTGAAGACAATAACCTACGACTGTACGGTGTCCCTGAAGACAAGTATGACAATAACATTAAACATCTGTCCAAGAAATATGTCAAGGAGTGCTACCAAAGACCCAAGTGAGGACGATGCTTTCAGCAATGGACGTTGTTCATCACATCGACAGTCTTTGACAATGTGACGGGAAAACCAAACCTTCTCCATAACCGGTGATCATCAGATTCCAGACCAGAACGGACAAAGATGAGCTATGGAAAGGATCCAAGACCAGCAGCTACCTCAAACACACCAAGATCAGCTTTAAGGAAGACCTGACGGCTGCAGATAAGGAGATCTGAGGCAAGCTGTGGATGATGCCAGGCAGGCTGGTCACAAAGTATATTTTGTTGGAAACAGAGCTTATATTGAAGGAAAATAAATTAAGATGTGACCAGGGAAAATATATTTCATTGTGTTTCTGATAAATTCTAACGACTCTAATGTGAGAAAGTGACAAACATATTCAAAGTGCAGATATGCAAATAATAAGCAGTTACTTGTTAGCTTATACAGCTGAGTTGTAGTTCTGCTGTTATTCATTGTGCTATTGTTCGTGTTAGTTTATGTCTAAAATAATACAACAAACAATTATTTTTGACCTTTAGAAGAAAAACAACAAATATTACTTTCACTGCTAAAATGTTATGGGGAGGAGACTTTAACACAGTGATGGATGATAATCTGGACAGATGGCCCCCAAACATTAACTGAACTACATCACATCTGTAACAGATTAGGAATCATTGATGGATATCTAGACATTCAGACTAAACCTCCTGCACATGGAACAAAGACGGGACTCGTCACGCAGAGATTTCTGGATGATTTCCTCAGACTGAGACGCTTCTATAGAACCAACAATACTGACAGATCACAAAGATATCACAATTCAAATAGATGTAAATACTAACAGACAGGGTCAGAATAAAGATTACTAGAAATTAAATAACGCCTTATTAAAGAATGAATAATTTAAAAGTGAAGTAATTAATTAATAAATACTGAATTCAAGCAACTTTAACTACTTATTATGGTAAAAACTGGGAATTATTTAAATTTGAAATTAGGAACATGGCAATTAGAATAGGAAAAGAACGTGTCCAAAAGACAAAAGAATCCCAAATAATAAAAGCAAGTTTGAGAATATCAGAGAAACGGATCTATCTGACGAGGAGTCAGAGGAACTTTCAACACTGCAGCTAGAACTTGATGAGCTCCATGAGGACAAAGCCAGAGGAGCATTTGTGAGGTCCACAAGGAAGTGGTTAGAACAAGGAGAAAAGTGCTCCACATACTTCTTCAACCTAGAGAAGAGAAACTTTGAACAATCATTTATTGGTAAGTTTAAAATGAACAATGTGATTGGTGAAAATGATTACGTTATTTCAAACTACGTTTCAAACTTTTATCAGAATTTATACTCGGTAAATCTAGAAGATGAGGAAAGAATGGACACATTTCTAAGGGAACATGAAATGAATACCAACAAGATGGATGATGACTTTAAGAGAACCTGTGACAGAGAAATTAATCTAAAAGAAGTTCAAGATTCTATTTGTTCGCTTAAAGATAATAAATGTCCTGGCAGTGACGGCACAAGTAGTGAATTCTATAAACAATTTGCAAAAGAATTGGCCCCTTTTTAAAAAACATGCTTATAGAGTCAATATTGAGAGGTGAACTACCCCCAACTCTCCAGCAGGGGTTGATTAAACTCATCCCCAAAACCAGAAAAGATCAATCAACAGGGTAGGACTCAGAACAGGACTGTGGGTGGAGTCAATCAGTGTTCAAGCCTCTGATTGGTTCATTCAGACTGTGGGTGGAGTCAATCAGTGTTC